CAGGTCCCCCGGGGCCCTCTGGAGCGGGGCGGTGACACCCGGCCCGGCCCCGTGCCCCGAGAAGGCACCGGCTGGTGGGAGAGGCTCGGGGGGGGCCGGGGGGATCCCCACAAACACCTCYCGCTCCGAGGCCGTGAACTGCGGCGAGGGGGGCGTGGGGGGCGCATCCTCATCCTCCTCTCTCTCCTCCTCGGGCTGTCCGGTGGGCCCGGTGGGGCGCGGCGGGGCCTGTGCAGAGCTGGAGTCACTGCGGGAGCGCCACGTGTCCCGCAGCTCCGGGGGGTGAGGGGACGAGGCGCTGGCCACGTCCCCCCACTCCTCGGGGACTGTGTCCCCAGGGGGCTGCAACAGCGTCCCCTGTGCCTGGGGACACGGCGGAGCAGCTGGGGACTCGGGGGATGGGGCCACCCCGGCTGCCAGCACCACGGGGGACATGGTTCGGGGAAGGGGACACAGGGCAGGGACAGCGGCTAGGGGGCTGGGGGTCACCGGGTCGGTGGCCACGGTGTCCATCGGGCTGGGGATCACTGGGTCGGTGGTCACGGTGGCCATCTCATCCCCGGGGGTTGGTGTCACCGATGTCACTGTTTTGGTATCTGTGGTGTCCATCACACTTGGGGTCACTGGGGTGGTGTCTGTGGTGTCTTTCAGGGCGGGTGTCACCGATGTCACCAGACTGATGGCTGCAGTGTCCCTCTCATCCAGGGGGGTTGGTGTCACTGATGTCACCAGGTCAGTGGCCATGGTGGCCATCAGGGTGGGTGTCACTGATGACACCAACTCAGATGCCACAGCATCCTTCAGGATGGATGTCACTGGTGTCACCACGACAGTGTCCACAACTTCCATCTTGTCCAGCAGGCTAGGTGTCACCGGTGTCACCAGGTCAGTGGCCATGATGTCCAGCTCATGTGGTGAGCTTGGTGTCACTGGTGTCACCAGGCTGTTGACCATAGTGTCTGGCTCATCTGGGGGGCTGGGTGTCAGCACTGATGTTGATGTTGCTGGTGTCACCAGGTCAGTGGCCATGGTGGCCACGGTGTCCAGTTCATCTGGTGGGCTCGGTGTCACCGGTGTCACTACATCAGTGGCTGCAGTGTCTGACGGGCTGGGTGCCACCAGGCTGGTGGCTGTGCTGTCCATCAGGCTGGATGTCACCAGATCAGTGTCTGCAGTGTCCAGCTCATCCAGTGGGGTTGGTGTCCCTGGTGTCACCATGTCAGTGGCCGCAGTGTCCAGTTCATCAGGCGGGCTGGGTATCACTGGGCTGGTGGCTGCAGTGTCCATCTCATCCAGTGGCGCTGATATCACTGGTGTCACCAGGTCAGTGTCCCCAGTGTCCATCAAGCTGGGTGTCAATGGCATCACCACATCTGTGGCCACACTATCCATCTCATCCAGAGGGGTTGGTGTCACCGATGTCCCCAAGCCGGTGGCTGCAGAGTCCAGCTCGCTGTGGCCATCAAGGCTCCCTGCTGTGCCAGTGCTGAGCTCAAGGTCATTGTCACCATCACTGTCACGCCCAGGGCCGTCCTGAGGCTCCCCATTGGCCCCACCCAGCTGGTGGCTCTGGGGRTCCCCAGCACAGAGCCCGGGGGGCTGTGGGACATGCCCCATCACTGCCAGCTCTGGGCAAGGTCCCTGTCCCAGCGCTGCTCCAGAGACTTCTGTCGCTGCCATCTCCTCGGGGGGCTCCGGCGGGTGCCACCCCCCCGTGACGGTGACAGAGGCGTTGCCGTCCAGTTCTGCGTCCCCTCCAGGGAGTGCAAGCAGTGTTCCCAAGGATCCGGGAGCTGTGTCCTGGGCGGGGGGGCGACACGGGGACCCGGCATGGAGATGGAGCTCTACGCCAGCAGGGCCGCAGGGCACCGGCGGGGTCCCCGGTGGCGTGCCCGGGTTCCGCGCGTGCCTCTCGGTGCCGTAGAGCCGCTCGTCCTCGTCCCCGTCGTAGGCGGCCGAGTCCGAGGAGGCGTCGGTGTCATCGCGGAAGGCAAAGGCCTCGTCCCCCCCCTCGGGGATGGAGCTCTCGGACAGCGAGTGCAGGAAGGACGCCGAGGTGCTGCCTTCGTCCTCCTCCTCCTCCCCGGTGGGGGCCCGGGGCGAAATCTCCACTGCCTCTGCCTCGAAGAGGAGGCTGACGCGGAGCGGGAGCAGCGCCGCCGGGATCAGCCTCGAGCCCCTGCCCTCATCCTCATCTTCCTCCTCCGGCGTCTGCCCGTCCTCATCATCATCATCATCATCCGCTAAGCCCAGCGGGGCGAAGGAACCGTCATCATCATCATCGTCATCATCATCATCATCATCATCCTCCTCCTCGGGGGACAGGGGGGGGAAGGCCGGGGGGTCCCCCAGGCCGGGGGGCAGCACCAGGCTCCCCCCCAAACCTTCGGCCTCACCCTCAGCCTCGCCCAGGCCTTCGGCTTCGGCCGCCAGGTTGGGGGAGCAGGACGGGGAGGTGCTGGCGGTGCCCGAGGAGCCCCAGCTGCCGCCCTCGGCCGTCATGTAGGAGCCCGAGGGGGACGTGGGGGGCGAGCACAGCCCCTCGCTGTCCCCGTCCGTCTGCTCCTCCGGGGGGGGCGGCCGCGCTCCCCCYGCCCGCACCGGCGTCGAGGGGGCCGTGAAGAACAGCTCGGGGTCCAGCGAGGGGGGGCGGCCCGGGGGGGGCTCCTTAGGGGGCGCGGGGAAGGGGCAAGGCACGGGGGGTCCTCCCCGCGGCTCGGGCGGGGGGCAGCGCGTCTCCTCCCCCATCACGATGCGGGTGTCCAGCGGGTCCGCGGAAGGGGGGGGCCGGCAGGGAGAGCCGGGGGGGGCGGCGGCGGCGGGGCCGGGGTCACAGCTGGCCCCCTCGGGCGGGGGGCGAGCCTCCTCCTTGGCCGGCATCGGCAGGGGGGTCGCGGGCATCGGCGAGGGGGCTGTGGAGAGAGGGGACACCCCTGAGTGCCACAGCCCCCACTGGGTCACCATGGAGAGAGGGAACAGCCCTGAATGCCAGGGGCCCCCCAGGGTCCCCATGGAGAGAGGGGCCACCCCTGAGTGCCACAGCCCCCCCAGGGTCACCACGGAGAGGGGAGGGACACCMCCACAATGCTAGCCCCACTCCAGGGGCACGCCGTGACGGCGGAAGGGGGGACACCCTAGGCACTGCCTTAGGGACGAGAGGGTGTCACCCCCACCCATCCAGTGGTGGGAAAAGAGGGTGACCCCTGAGCAKCTGGAGGGGGAGRTCYCCCAGGGCTTRGGGACACCGGGGAGGACACCAGCAGCCCCCCGYCCCCAAACCCCTCTCTAAGGGGTGCACAAGATTGCAGCCGCGTCAGGAGGGGACCCCAACCCAGACCCCTCCACACCAAGAGAACCCCTCCAATGGCGGGGTGGGCGCACCGTTCCTTGCAGCCCCTCCCCGGGCTCCCTATGCCCACACCCTGCGCCGAGTTTGGGGGKACTCCACCCTGCACTGCCCCAGAAAACACCCGGCACCGCCCTCCATCACCTGAGTCCCCCGGGCACGGATCCATGGGGCGGGAGCGGTCGCACCGCGATCACCCCCAGCCCCTCCTGCAGCACCAGCCCCCCCTCGACCCCCCGGGCGTTATAACGGGGCCGGGGGGGGGGGGCGGGACCGGCGCGGGGGGAGCCGGGAGGGGGCGGGGCCTCGCGGGGGTATTTACGGGGCAGGTGTCGCCATTCCCCCCATAGTCTGAAATGGTTCAGTCCAGCGCCCCCCTCCCTCGCCACGTGGTGGGGACACATCAAAGGCTCATTGAGGGGCGGTCCTGTCCCCCCTCCCATCTCCGGAGCCCTTTTGGGGGGTGACTCTGCCCTATAATGAGAGGGGGCTACTGGGACCCCCTTAACTCAGCTTTTCCCCGCCCGTGTCCCGTTGTGGCCGCCCCACACCGTGGGGGGTGTTTTGGGGTCCCCTCTGTACACCCTGGAGGGGACACCCTAATCCCCCTTTGCACAAACSGGATCCTCGCCCCCTTTCTGGGAGRCCCCCCCAGGCCCAGCTCTGGGAGGGGGCACTGAGGCACAGGGGGAGGGTGACACTCGGGTGTGTTCCTCCCCTCGTTCCTGCTGTCCCCAGCCCCTCAGGAAGGTGCGGATGACCCCGGGGATCCCTCCCGGCGTCTCCAGCCGCTTCCCCCCGCACGTGACAGTGACCCCTCGGGGACACCGGTATGGGGTGACCTTGGGCTGTGCCTCAGTTTCCCTCCCTGGGGGTGGGATGGTGCTGGGGGCCGTGAGGCTCAGCCCCCCAGTCCCACCAGTACCTCCCCGTCCGGGGGGGACACAACCCGATGCCGACCCCCGCTGGGGCTCCTGAGGGTGAGAGAGGTGACTCCGAAGCGGGGTCCCCGAAGTCCCCCTTGCCCCGCCCCAGGGGAGCCGGGCCGGAGCCCCCCGGTTGTGCCGGGCCCGGAGCCCCGGGCGGTGGCGGAGGCCGAGAGTTGCGGCCGGGCCGCGTCCTCCCGCTCCGTCCTCATCCTCGGGCTCCGTCCTTCATCCCCCGGCTCCATCCTTACCCCTCCTGCTCTGTTCTCCACCGCTCTCTCTCCATTCTCGTCCTCCGGCTCCATCATTGCACCTCTGTCCTTCAGCCCCCACCTCGATCCTCCTTCCCTCCACTCCATCCTCATCCTCCCATCCCGCACCCGTCCCTGCTCCGTCCTTCATCCCCCTGCTCCATCCTCATCCCTTCATCCCCCGGCTCTCCATCACTGCCTTTGGTTCCTCCAGCTCCACCCTGATGGCTCCGGCTTCTTCCTCCCTGCTCCGTCCTTCATCCCACCGGCTCCATCCTCCTGCTCCATCCTCATCCTCCTGCTCCGTCCTTTCCGCTCCGTCCTTCATCCTTCCGGCTCCGTCCTTCATCCCCCTGCTCCATCCTCATCGCCCCGTTCCATTCCCATCCTCGGGCTCCATCCCACCACTCCGTCTTTCATCCCTCCATCGGCACTCCCCATTCCTCCCTTCCATTCTTCATGCTCCATCCTCACCTCTCCGTCCCTCCCGCTCCCTCCTCATCCTCCCTCTCCATCCCCGCGCCCCCCGGGCCTCACCTGCCTCCGCTCCCTCCGGCATCCCGTTCTCCTTCTCCGGTCCGCCCCCCCGGCGGA